AGTCTTGCCTGAACTGGGGACCTGGGATCAGGATCCACGCGCTGTCTCAGGAGGCAGAAGGTAGGTAGGTAGGTAGGTAGGTAGGTAGTCTAGCCAAGGCTCGGCTGACTCCCAGGATGCTCCCTCCAGGCTCCCAAGCCCACCTAAACGCCCCCCTCAGTCCCTGGAGTTCCTGCAGTCACCCTCACATCCAGATCCCAGAGTTTTCTAGAAATTGAACAACCATCCCCCTACTCCTCCGCCTTGTCTACCTCAACCATGTGAATTAGGCAGAGTGTCTGTCTGTCCTGAGAATTTGTCACCATTACATGTCTGTGTTTGATTGGGTTTTTATATCTCCTTCTCAGATTGAAGTTGGTTCACTTTTTAACTTAGAAAACTTAATTCTGTTCTTTTCCTTTGTTGGTTTCTTGCTTTTCCTTATTCAAAAGCAAACCACCGATCACAGGAAATACAGATAGACAAAAAGGAAAAGCCTGAACCACACAAACAGCCCCACCCAATCGGAAAGAAGCACCAGGCCGGTGGCGGCTGGGATGGTGGAGGAAGGGCGGGGGCTCCTGACAGCTGGGCTTCCAGGCTCTTCCCTCTCTCCTATAACCTCTAGACAAGCGGGCAAGACTCCCGCCTCCTCTATCCCTGGCTGGAGCCCAGCTAGTGAGTGGTGGGGGCAGAGCGCAGATGGAGCTGGGCGGCGCAGAGCGGGTTCTCTGCCCCTTCGTCCTGGGGCGGACCTGGGCGCGGAGCGGCACCGTCCACACGGCAGAGGCCAAGGCGGGGCAGCCCGGGGTTGAGGTCGGTTAACCTGGACGTCCAACCTTCCCCAGAGTTATCTGGGGTGAGGTTTCGTGGGCTGCCCCTTTAAAGTGTATAAGGCAAAGACTGCATCCTCTTCAAAGACAGATTCAGGTGGGGCATGTGTGTGCAAGGCTTTTGTCCAGGAAAACCCAGGGTAAATCCAATCCCTGGCGTTCCTGCCTTCCCTTCATCCTGAAGATAGGAGATGGGTCGGCTGAGAATTCTGGTCCCATTTACAGAAGAGGGCAGGTTAGCTTTCTGCCTGCAGGTTCCAGCAGTGCTGGGAGGCACTGTTCGGGAGCACCCTGCAGTGGGGACTCAGGTCCCTCAACTGTAAAATGGAGACGGTGGGGAATGCTGCTGGAAAAGATGCTCATCACAGCGTTTACTGTGATGGGATCACAGTGAGCATCGAAGAGAGGTTGAATAAAAAGCATAATGCCTGGTACCCAGTAAGAGTCCAATAAATAGGGAAAAATCACTGCAGACAGTGACTGCAGCCATGAAATTAAAAGACACTTGCTGCTTGGAAGGAAAGCTGTGACAAACCCAGACACTATATTAAAAAAGCAGAGTTATCACTCTGCCAACAAAAGTCGATAGAGTCAAATCTATGGTTTTTCCATTAATCATGTATGGATGTGAGAGCTGGGCCATGAAGAAGGCTGAGCACTGAAGAACTGATGGTTTTGGACTGTGGTGTTGGAGAAGACTCTTGAGAGTCCCTTGGACTGCAAGGAGATCCAACCAGTCAACCCTAAAGGAAATCAACCCTGAATGTTCATTGGAAGGACTGATGCTGCCGTGTACCTGATGCCAAGAGCCAGCTCATTGGAAAAGACCCTGATGCAGGGAAAGACTGAAGGCAGGAGGAGAGGGGGCCACAGAGGATGAGATGGCTGGATGGCATCACCGACTCAATGGACATGAGTCTGAGTAAGCTCTGGGAGTTGGCGATGGACAGGGAAGCCTGGCGTGCTGCGGTCCATGAGCCTGCAAAATGTCAGACACGACGGAGCAACTGAACAACCATCATAAGTAACTGAATGAGCAGAGAGAATGCTGCACTTGGAGCCTGAGAGGCGGGGGTTCCAATGCAGCTCTGCCCAGTTTTCCAGGTGAGCTTGAGCAGCCCCTTCCCTCGCTGCCACCAAGTAAACACTCCCAGCCTTGCCAGCCTCTTGGTACCAGCTTTAGCTTCCGTCCTTACACTGTCATCTCCTCCGTCTCTAGAGGTGCTCCGTGCTGGCCTGTTACAGAGTTCCCCACCCCCGTCTTACACAATGGGCTGCCCTGGGTGGAAGGGCAGAGCACTTCAGGGCAACACACACCACAACATAAACACACACCACACAACATGCACACTCACACCGTACAACATACACACAGAGATGCCACACACGCACTCCACACGTGAGAACAGCAGGACGGCTGCTCCTGCCTGCTCTGGGTCATCAGTCCAGGCTCTCCTTGACCTCAGCTCCCCAGACCCATCTCTGAGCAGATGCTCCTGCTTCACTGAGTAAACAGCCCATCTGGCGTGATGCCTTCCTCTCCCTCCCCCCCCCACCACACGCAACATGAGCGTTTACCCGTACTCTTGAGCATCTTTTCCAGCAGCACTCCCTCGCCCCCACTTGCCTGACTCCTTGACTCCCACCCCACCCCTTCCGTGGGGCTCCTTCTTGCTGACAATTGTCACTGTCTCCCTCTGCAATCCTTCTCTTCAGCTCTTCGCATGCTCAACCTCCCTCCCCTGCTTAAAAACACCAATAATAAACTCTCCTTCAAGGCCATGCCCCTTTGGCCACAACACATCACCCTTCTTCCCTTCAGATTATCTTCAGTCCTTATCCTCTGCTGACTCAGCTCCCACTGACGTCACTGCCCTGAGCACGCACACGTGAGAACACACACACACTGCGGACACGTGTGCACATGCATCCCGCCCACAGGGCTGCTCCCTGCACGCCACTCAAGCTTTTCTCACCAAGGTCATTGTCAACGGTCCATTGCAAAATCTGAGGCCTCTTCCGGGCCTTCACCTCCCTGATGCTTCAACCAGTTAACCCCCCTCTCTGAGAACCACTCCCTCCCTCGTAGGATTGCCAGATAAAATACTGACACCCCAGTTCAATTTGAACCTCACCTAGACAACGAGTAATGTTTTAGTGTAAGCATATCCCCAATACTGCCTGGGACGTGCGTATACTAAAAATTATTTGTTGTCTACCTGAAATTAAAATTAACCAGATGCCCTGTATTTTTATTTGCTAAATCTGGAACCCTACTCCCAACCTTCCTGCCCATTCTCTAGCTGCTCCTCTTGGTCCCATCTCCCTTTGGTCAGCCTGCTCCAGGGTGCTGGCCTTGACTGCCTGCCTTTCCCAAATGCCCTGCGTCCCTGGGACGTCCTCTCCCTGACCCTCGGCTCCACCTCCACGCGGTGCTGGCCACTCCCCGAGTCTCCCAGGACCCTTCCTCCAGCTCCCACTGCAGAGGCCACCGCTCCCCTTTAGCAACAGCAGGTCTCAGTGCCCATGTGTGTGTGCTGGGGAAGACGGCTCCTGCCCAGACTGACAAGCCAGGCTGCCTCTTCGTTGCCTTCGCTTGCCCGGAAACATACTGGCCAAGTGTGGCAAGAGGGGTTCCCACAGGAGCTGGCTGTGTTTCGTCTCCTGGCCCCCACTCTATCTGCCGCCCACATTCTCTGAATCTCCAATCCTGCCAGTCCCTCTGGGGGACCCTCCCCCAAACTCTTCTTGTTGAAGTGCCTACTTTTCTTCAAGTCCAACTCAAAGGTCACCTCCTCCCGGGTTCCCCGGGGACTCCCAGCCCTCTCTCCCTGGAGCACCCTTGTCCAGATGACTAAATTGGGTGTTCATCGGTTGCTGGGACTGGGTCTTGGTGACTTTCACGTTCCCTGGGTGGGGCCTGGTACACAGTGGTGCTCAGCCAGTGTTTTTTGAATGGAGGAGTGAATGGGTGATGGAATGAATGAATGCATGCATGAGTTGGCGAGGAAGTAAGGCTCAGCAAGCAGGTGGAGTAAGTGGACAGATGGACAGATGGGTGGGCAGGTGGGTGGATGAGTGAGCAAATGAGAGCTTGGGGCTTGACAGACTGCTCGCCCGCAGAGCGAGGCTGCCCCCTCGCCATTGCTTGTTCTCAGGGCTGAGTCCAGCTACAGACCTTCCTCCACAGACTCAGGGAAGAATGTGACCACAGCACACAGAGGCAAAGCCCTGGACCGGGGGTCCTGACACTTGGGTCCGGCTGAAGGTGCTGGGCCTAGAGCAGAGCTAACTCTGCTTGAGGACAGAGAGAGGCTGAGGCCCACTCTTTTGTCTCCTCCCAAACCTTGTACCACCAGCTCTGCCCACCCGGAGCTCCTGCGCCCGGTATTTCTCTCTGCCCGGACATGCTCGCCCGGCTCTGAGAACAGGCCGCTGCTGAGCTCCCATGGAGAGGTGCTCACAGGAGCCCTCCATGGAAGGACTTCAGGGCCAGCCTGTGCCAGGAGCCACTTTGCCTGAGGCCGAACCTCAGGGGGCGGGGGCTCTCAGAGAAGAGCAAAGATCGGGGGGTATTAAGGGCCTGCATCATCTTTAACTCCTTCCTTTATCTAATCCTGCTTCCCCCTCCTTCCCCTCATGGCTGTTGATTCCTATAAACATTTCACACCCCACAACTCTGTCTGGGCTTCGCTTTCAGAGAACATGAACTCAACAGTTCACCCGGCTCAGCTGAGGCCCTCTGGGGCCTCCCTGCAGCACTCCACGTGCATCTGTGAAGGCTCTGCTTGCGGGCTCCAGGGTCCAGAGAGACCGACACAGGGTCCCTTCGGAGCTCCGGGCCTTCCCTCTGCTGTGCCTCTCCCCTCCCCAGACTCACCCTTCCCCACCAGCCTGACTCTCTCCCCGCCTCCCTACACCTCTGCACTTTCACAGCCCCAAGCATCTCTCTCTGCGAGTCCTTCTATGGCAGCCGCATGCCCAGGGTGGCCCATCCAGGCCCCCTCAGGGGCCAGACCTCCTCTCTGGGTCAGTCCTGCCCCCTTCAACGGCAGGTCCTGGGAGAGTCATTCCTTTAGTGCTGGATGGAGACATGAGTCAGGAGACTCAGAATTCTGCATCCTTCAAACCGTTTGCTAAATATGGTCTGGCATGCATTTCATGGGTACAGAGAAAACAGCTCTTCTGTAAATAAAAACAGAACATCTCTTTATTTGCGATGCAAACAAGAGCTTTGTTACATACTGTCAATACAATATAGCATTTTAACTTATTCGAAATTACCTTTCAGTTGGTGATTTTTCAGTCATTCCTGGGTGACGAAAGTCACAGTCTCTAAGAATAGAAGTGACCCATAAGAATATAGAAATAAACTCTCATGCAAATACATTTCAAAGTCTTCTTTCTGGCTTTCCTATTAATAAAACATCTGGTACTTTCTGTAACTCTTTTTCTCTTCTGTTTCCTTTTGTGGTTTCCCAACCCTGATTCTTGGGAGACCCATAAAAGGATATGCATTTTCAATTGTAAAATGAATCGCCAGTCCCCAGGAAGCAGCCGTTTGGTTTCAGAATTTCAGGGCGGATTTCAGGTAGCAGGTAGGAGGCAGGTCTCAGAAGTGGGCTCTGCAGTATGTGCGCAGGCAAGTAGCAAAATGACTCTCTTGGAACAGATAAAAAGTGGTTTCTGAAACTGTCCACTTGAGGGCGCTGCTTCCTCTGGTGGCAATAGAACCAGCAGCATCATAGGCATCCTGGGACATCTTGAGATAACCAACACTCTCTTCACAATAAAGTCCAGTGATAGTTCACTGCATCTTGTAGATCAGAAGAGCTGGCCCACCATGCCATCCAGTATTGCCTGGTCACTCACTCTCGACCTCTCGTAAGCCCCACCCTGTGGGTAGGGTCCGGCTGAGCTCTCAGGGGTCAGAGCTGACTCCTACTGGTCCCATCACCATAGATCTCCCAGGCTGGAGGGCATGGCAAGCTGGAATAGGATGGGTCAGGAGTCTTCTGGATACAGGCTGGACAGGACAGAAATGCCAGGCTGGAGGAGTGGGTCACCAGAGAAGGCTTGCTGGGGGAAGAGGAGTCTGACCCGCAGCAGAGCAAATCCTGGGCCTTCCAGGTGGCTCAGTGGTAAAGAATCCACCTGCTAATACAGGAGACTTGGGTTCAATCCCTGGGTCAAGAAGATTCCCTGGAGAATGGAATGGCTACCCGCTCCAGCATTCTTGCCTGGAGAATTCCATGGACAGAGGAGCCTGGCAGGCTACAGTCCATGGGGTCACAGAGTCGGACACGACTGAGTGACTAAACAACAAGCGCAAATCCTGGGGGCTGGTAAATTTCACATGAAGGTCCAGAAGTCCCGGGCACCTGCCACTGGCTGAGCATGGCGACCTGGCCCAGTGAAGAGAGAAGCCTCCTGGTGGAACGTGGCCACTGTGAAGCTGGGGCGCGGGGCCCCCTGAGGATCCTGGCTCCTTGCGTCACAGCTGAAGCAGCAGAGGACGCAGGTGATGGCCACGGTGACCGCGAAGAGCACAGCCACCATTCCGATCACTGCTGCTTCCATGGCCCTGTGTGGCCCGGGGTGTGTTTTGGACCTCACTCGCTCCCCATCCGCCGCGAGGAGCTGCTGGTGATGGCTTGCCCCTCCGGCTGCTCTCCCTGTGGTCTTCTACGGAGATACTGGCCTGAGGCCCTGGCCGGTACCCGCTCTGGGCAGTTGGGCACCCCACGTGGCTCTACTCAACTGTAGTGGGCCTCTGTCACTTTTCTCAGCCTTGGGCCAGGCTTCCAAGAGCCGTGGGCAACTCCACTGGCAGCTCTGGAAGAAGCACTGTCCTGAAAGACATAAGCTCAAGACTCCTTGGATGCAGGAGCTGGAAAGAGAGAGCAGACTTTGTCCAGAGGGAGCCCCGCTCAGCCCTCTGGTGACGCCTATGGATTTCAGGAGTGTTTGTACACTCGGACAAAAGACAAAACACTCCCCCTCCTGTGGGTCTGGGATGTGCCCAGGCTCCTCCCTTGGAGGAACCTTGGATCAGTCCTTGAATCAGCCCCACTGCTGACTCTTGAACCTCTGGCCCTGTGCTGGGGGCTGGGACGAAGGAGGGGAGGGGGCATCGTCAGCTCTGAGTCAGATGCAGGGTCACCACGAGCGCCTGTCTCGTTGGCCTCCTTTTCTGCACGTACTGGGAGAGTGCTGTTTAGATGGGGCAGGTCACTCTCCGGGTGGGATCCCTGAGCCCTTCAGAACTCCTGGGGGCTCCTTAGTCCCATCCTCTGCTCCAGCCCCACCCACGCCCTCCCCTTGCTGCCTGCTCGAGCCTGCTGCTCACACTCAGGTGCTGTGAAAACTTACCCCGGGCTTCCAGAGGGGCAGCTATGGCTGTACGCAGTGCCGGGGCCTCCTGACCTGATGGCCACCCCAGGGCCCAGGCCAAGGCACGCTCATCCCGGGGTGCCTCAGCCTTGGTGCTGCCTGGGACGAGGCTCTGAGATGTCTGAGCGGCTGTGAGCACTTCCTGAGCTCCTTCCTCCAATTGTGAGTGAGGGCCCAGGACCCGCACAGCTGCCGGCCCCCTTGCTGACTGCTCTCACCCCACCCCCCACGCACACCCATGCCACTCCAGCCCGGCCTCCTGCGAGCGTCTCTGCTTCACTGGGTCCGGGGCAGTGGGGGTGAGCCCGGTCCAGGCCACTCTGTCTCCCATCCTCACTTGATCATGGCCAGCACCTCCTGAGACCACCACCACTTCCAGAAAGGAGGCTGAATTATTAACCCGACTTCATCCAAACCCTGAGAAAGGGTGTCATTACAGACAATAACTCCAGGTATTAGACACAGCCAGGCACTATCTCATATAATGGTTCCAGCAACGCTGTGAAGTAACATTTTCTCTATTTTAGAGATAGTCATAGCCCATGGCCTATTGCTGTTAGTAGTGATAACTAGAGCACCAAATAGCCAAGGAGGGACTTCCCTCCCTTTCCTCCTAGTTCAGACCTCTCTCCAGATACCACCGCTCCACAGGGCAGTCGTCTCCTTCTATACATTTACTGATCAGAGTGTGAAGACCCAGAAACGGCCAAGGGCTAGCCCAGGGCCACATAGCCTGGATCCTTTTCAATTTCTCCAATGCCCAAATAATGCCAACTTTATTTGGTTCTAGTGTTAGGAAATTGCTTATGCGCAGAATGGGAGAGTGACTATTTGGAGTAAATGATACTCTGCCAAGTTCTCTCTCTTCCCCTTTCTAAGATAACTGGACAACCCACACAGGAGGAGCCCGGAGCCAGCTGGGGCTGCAACAGGAAGCTGAACATCTTGAATTACTTGTATTAACTGGAGTGACCAGAAGCAGGGGGCAGGAAATATGACGAACCACTCTGTGGGCCTGTGGTTTCAGATTATCAGTGAATGGTTATCAATGAATTATCAATGTCAGCCAGTCACTTTGGGAGGTGGAGGGCTCCAGGGGGACTGCTTGTCCTAAGGGTTTCTCCAGATATTTTCTTTTCTTGTGGATTTTGTAATCTTATGACAGACAGCCCCTACCCATGAGCCCCAGACACAACAGGGCTCTGAAAGATGTCTACCACTTAGACATACATCTGTCCTCCCAGCATCCATCACTGTCAACTAGTCAGAGAAAAGAGCATGGCCCATACATTCCATATATATACATATACATGCACACAAACACAGGTAACCGTATATATATATGTGTGTGTGTGTGTGTATATATATATATATAGGCCTTATCACATGGTATGTGGGATATTAGTTACCCACTAGGGATTGAACCAGCACCCTCTGCAGTGGAAGCATGGAGTTTTAACCTTTGAACCACCAGAGAAGTCCTCCATAGATTCCACTTACATTAAGAAGGGGAAGGTGATGGCAAACCTCCTGGCTCTCCCAGGGGATGCTCAAGGCCGCACACAGGAAAGGCAGGCCATCCAAGACTCACATCAGGCTCTGCAGAGGGATGAGGGAGGTCCAGGCTGGCGGGCTATCAACCTCCACACACCCCAACACTCAGCAGATTGGGTAGTAAAGCGGGAGCTCTCTCAGCAAGGCCCTAGAAGCTTAAAGGACTAATCCCTGCAATGGCCCACTAGTAAAATTGGAAGCCCTCAAGCCCTAAGCTTCTGGTAGTGATGATTCCAAGTACATTTACTTTTTCCAGAGAGCATGAAGCTCTGGAAACCTTTCTCGATCATCTGTTATGTGGGCTGATTCCACACTTGGGCATGGGGGCCCTCAAGAGTTCTCCAATCTAGGAGGACAGGGGCCTTTGAATCTCTAGGGAAAGAGATTTGAGAGTGCATCAACAACAATAACAATAATAATAAATGAGAAACCCATAGGAGTGAATGACAAATTCTTCTTGGGCAAAGACAGAGAGGGGAACGTGCAAGATGTTTTCTGAGCCTGAGGACTGGAGCAGTGTGGACAGGACAAAAGGAACAGGAGGAGGCAGGAATCAGACCGGGGGCAACCAAGAGGCAGAGGCTTGGTCCCAGGGGCAACGAGCAGGCTGCAGTGTGGAAGAGGCCTCGCAAAGCGGCAGGGCTGGAGGTGCGCAGACTTGGAGGGGTTGTGGCAGGAATCCAGATCAGGGATGAACTAAGGGCAGCCATAGGGTAAGGGAGGGGAGGCCGATGCAAAGAGTGCTAAAGACCCTGGATCCTCTTTCCCAAGCCTGAAATCTGGCCTTGCTATCAGCGAATTTGCCTCCCTCTCCCCACCTCCCACCCCAGGCCTCAAAGAGAATCACCGGGGAATAGAAAAGAAACAGGACATTCTGTTCCAGTGAGTCAGTCACCAGGCCCCTGACTTTATGGCCTGTTCTCCGGCCCCTCCCCACCACCTCGCCTGGACCTCAAGCCTCTCCCCCTCCCCTTCCCACCCCAGTTCACAGGACTTCCTTCCTCACTGAAGGCCTCAGAACTGGATTTCCATCCTGGCTGCAGAATCCTGTCAGCTGCTCTGGGGTCGCTGGGAACAGGCTTTGGCAAGAAGCGTCTGTCACCTATCTCATCTTAGGGAAGGGGAAACTGAGACTCCGAGGAGCAAGCCCTCTCCCAGGGCCACCAAGCACCACGTTCTCCCTCCTAAACTCACAGCCACACACAGACTCCAGCCAGCCACACACACACACACACACACAAGCATCAGTGGGGTCAGGCTGGCTGAGACTCAACACCTGGATAAGAAACCCTGACTGGTTTACCAAAGAAATGTTCATTCAGCACAGCCATGCAGGGGGCTTCTGCAGGCCCAGAGCATAGTCTGCCCTAGAGGTGGACCGGAAAGAGGCTTGGGGGCCAGCCTGGATGGCCTCGCTCCTTCTCTCCCCACCGGTACACAGGGAGCCATCTCTGTGCAGGGCTGCCTGCAGACCCTAACCATGCCCCCCATCAGAGCTCGGGCCCCAGGCCTTCTCACCTACTGTCCACGGAGCCCGGCACAGCCGTCCAGTCTCCCGCACGGCAGGGCCCACTCAGACATTCACTTCCCATCAGAGAGGGAGGTCCAGGGAAAGGCAGGAGTAGGCCTGGCTGCTCCCTCCCTCCCACTTGAGTTACAATCAAGAGCCTCTTCACAAAGCTTCTTAATGGTTTTTATTTTCTTGGATTAAGGCACCGCTGACTTGACTGTGCAGCCTCACGACCTCCTTCAAACACAGGGGCATTGCCAGGGCCCCTCCCAGCTACCTTGCCAGCCAGAGGCCTGGCCATGGAGAGAGAGCAGGGCACACCTGCCCACCCGCACACAGCAGCACGCCTGCGCCGAGCGGACCGGCGGTCCATTCTGGTGCCCTTCGGGAGTTAAGGTCACAAGGCGGTGTCTGCCCCCGAAGCACCACCAGCACCCCCTGCGCTCAGCCTGTCCCCCTCCTGCGCGTGCAGGGCCAGCCCTGGTGCTCCTCCGCTCCCCTCCGCAGCGCACAGGGTGTGGAAGGTAGACGAAGCCCCAGCAGGACCCGGTGTTCCCTGCAGAGAGGTGCCCTGCTGCGTGGGCGCATCGGCAGGTCCACTCGTCTGGCGACGGCAGGGCAGGCAGCGGCTGCCCTGCACGGGCATCAGTGGCGGCCTCGGTGGGCACGGGCGGCGTGGTGGGCGGCGTGGTGGTGGGCATGGTGGTGGGCGAGGTGGTGGTGGAGGTTCGCATGGGGCGTGTGAGACACGTGGCCGGCGTGGCGGAAATGGTGCAAGTGTCCCAGGTGGCCCCGGCCTGAGGAGATCCACGGCCGGGCCCACCTGATGCGGTTCCTCCTGGCGGCGGGGCGGTTCCTCTCCATGTCGGGCTCCTCCTGTCTGGTGTACAGGCAGGCGGCCAGCAGCAGCAGCAGCAGCAAGGCCGCCGCCGCGCCTACGATCAAGCCCACGAGGGTCGCGCTCTGCAGGAGGTCCAGCATCTGGGAGCTGACGGGGGCCTCTGCGTGGCGGCTCCTCACTGCTTCCTCCCCTTCAGCGGCCTCTGCTCAGCCCCCGCAGTCACTGGACTGTTTTCTCTGCTCCTGTGGGTTGGAGACCAGCCAGGGAATGTGGGTGCAGCCTCTTTGGGTTGCAGCTGCCAGCTGAGGGGAGGCCCGGCGACTGTTAACTCTGGGGAGGCCCAAGTGAGGCTAGGTGGGGAGAGAGGAGCTGGAAGGAGGGGCCTCGGGGCGGGGGGAGAGCCCAGAGGCTAGAGATAAGAGCCTGGGCCCCCATCCCTGCCACCTAGCCGGGTGACTGGGCCAGCCCGGTCCCCTCCCTGGGCCTCAGGGCCCTTCTCTCTTAGAGACGGCATAGCACACTAACTAAGATCGTGGGTTCTAGAACCACATGACTCACCAGCCCTGTGACAGCGCAAGTTTCCTATGCTCTCTGCCTCAGTTTCCTCATGTGTAAAAGGGTTCATTAGAGTATATTCCCTAGTAGGACTTTCTGAGGATTTAAGGAATTAGTGTTTATAAGGCACTTAAACCAGGTCTTGACACGTTTGCCACTGATATTGAGTGAGTGAGTGAAGGTTACTCAGTCGTATCCGACTCTGTGACCCCAAGGACGGTAGCCCGTCAGTCTCCTCTGTTCAAATTATCCAGGCAAGAATCCTGGAGTGGGTTGCCATTCCCTTCTCCAGGGGATCTTCCCAACCCAGGGATCAAACCTGGGTCTCCTGCAATTTGGGCAGATTCTATGCCACCCGAGCCACCAGGGAAGCCACCGATATTCAGGCAGTGAAGCTTGGACCAGATGACTTGGGGGGACCGAGCATCATCTGGGAGACCGTGGCTCCCTGTCCTGCAGCCCACAGAGGCCGCGGGGGCTGAGTCACGTTCTGTCCTGCAGTAGTCTCACACTTCAGGAGCTCAGGCCAGCGCGGCAGGCATGAAAGCTGAACAAATGTCTCTGCAGCCTCAGTCCTGCTGGGTCCGGGAGCCGGGTGTCAGTGTAGGGCTGCAGGAGGCAGGAAGCTGGCCGCTGAGGTCAGAGAGGCCAGGCCCCAGGGTCAGCCTCCTGGCTCCCAGTCAACAGGCTCA